GTAGGGATGGCTGTCGGGCTCGCGGTGGGAGCTGCTGTAGGGATGGCTGTCGGGCTTGTGGTGGGTGCAGGGGTTGGAGGGAGGGTGTTTGAGACCTCCACGGCATGAAAGTAGTAACCGGCGCCTAAGGTGGCAGGCGCGGCAGTCCCACTGGCTCTAAAGAGCAAGGCGTTGACGGCTTGTAGACGCGGTTCACCAGGAACAATTTGCTCGTTATTGTAATAGTATCCTTCCCAGCTCAGGCCTGTGTGGATAAGGGTGCCGTTGAGGAAGACCTTCACCACGTCATTGGCGGGGCCCGCCATAAAGTCAATCGTCGTCTCCACGGTGTGCAGGTCGGTGTAGGAAAGCCCGGTGGCAATCGCGGTAAAATTGAACCCGGTAAAGTTGAATTCACTGACATAATCATAGAATCCCACATCGATCCCGCTTCCGCTGTCTTTAAGGCGCACCCAACTCATGCGCACGGTGCTTTGCTTGGCAGTAGCAGACAAAACCAGGGTTAGGTTGGGTTGAGGGGCGCCGGTGGCGGAGCCAAACACCACGCGCGTGTAGAAGGTCGACACAGTGGCGTTGGCACCATAGTGAGGAGGATTGAAAGGTACAGTGAAATCTGGGCCATAATCGTTCCAGAGGCTGCTCCCAGGCTCGCCGGCTACTTCCGCCGTGATCGGAGAGCAGGGCTGGTTGGAGAAACTTCCGCTAGTATTTGCGTTTGACATTTGCCAGACGCGTGTGCCCACCGCATCGAGGGTGATGGCCTGATTAAAGAGATTGGCCGAGTTGCCCCATTTGTCTTCGACAGACCAGCCGAATTGATTGTTGATAGTTCCGTTTACGAAATTCTCGAAAGAGGCCGCTGTAGCCGTATATCGATGGTGGGTTGGCAAAAGGAACAGCATGCCAAGGACCAGACCTTGTCCAAATTTAAAGGAGAAGTAGTTTGACATGATGATTTTTGGAAGCCAAGATGATGGTCGTCGAATCTGTCGAAAGTAAGAGGTAAGGACGGAAGGATTCCGTTAGAAATGTAAGCTTGGGGGAGCTACCATTCTTGACCGAAAAAAATAAAATCCAAAAGGCTAACGAGGTTGTCAGGAGATCGGCAGGCTTGACTGGACATGAAGGGCGCATATGCCCACTGATAACGATGAGTCAATGGAAAAGAGGCGCTGGAGGGATTTCAATACCCTTGTTCTCTTCTACTGCGTTGTTGACACCATGTTCCTCGCCAGTAAGGAGCACGACAAGAAGATATACTCGAAATCACATCTCACAACACGGAAACACTTTGTTATGAGGTATATGGGAAAGAAGGCATATATGAAATTGCCTACTCCTCTCCGCTCGACGAGTATGAGGTAGCAAGAATCACAGCCTGGCAGTCCGCGCGGGCTTATGGCTCATTCTGAATACATTGGCCTATTCAATCTTCCCCTATTCAATCTTCCCCTGGTGGCTAACAACACATGCGAACAGTAAATTGGAGCGTGGAACTCCGAGAGTACTGAGATGCCAATCATATCAAAGGAAATAGAGAGATAGAGAAGAACCCATATTTATGGGTTTTCTGCTCTCATCTTGAATTTTGGGAGCAGTAAGTGAAGAGGGTAGCGTTTTCTTTCTGAAGAAATGTTTTTCTATCGAATCTAGTCGTGAGCTATTAAAACAGTTGTTAGGAGTTCTCATAGGGAAAAAAACAGGAGACCAGCACGACTTTAAATAACATGTAGGATGCGTGTTCTTGCTCTACAAAACGAGTGGTAG